GACTGAAACCCCAGGGTAGCTATGTCACTGGCATATCCCATTTGTTTGCTACCTGTATTGTTGTTTGTCCTTACAACATTGTAGAGTGTAGGGTTTTTAGCACCCTGCTCCAAATAGAGTTAAATCTCCCCTGGTACTGGATTTTTTGGTTGTCAGGGCTTGCCCCACCCTTGTAGAACTATCAAACTGACCCAGCTGAGGTGAGGGGATGGGAACAATCCTAGCAATGCCAGGAACTGCCACTGTTCAGTAGTTTGTTATAAATTTCATAAATTTTCAGGGTCCTTGAATGGTGGTTTTTGACAGTTTTGTTAAGTTTTAATTTTAGCGGGGAAGAGGATTTACTGAATTCCTTACTCCCCCATGTTGAAAACCCCATCTTCATAAGAATCTTAATGCTTAGCAATATGAAGGTGTATTTTGGGGGGAAACGACATTTTAATTTAAATGAGCACCTCAGACATCAGCTCTGGAAAGGTGCTCAGGTTGGCACTGTGTTGGCACTCTTTTTTGCTTAACTGAACAGTCTTGTACTGTAAATGCCAGTTTCCTTATCTTAGATGGACCTGCTGGAATAAGCCAGCTCTTTCTCTCATCAACAAAGTAAATAAATCCTTCCCTCTCTCAACAGTTTGTTGCATTTATAAAGTGATATTAGTATCACTTCTCCATCATTTTACTAGCCACAAAATCATCTCAATATTTCCCTTGTTTCCCTCTTTTTACACGTAACACCATGGCACTAGAAGGCACGTTATTAGTATTGTCCCTGTTTTTGATTGCAGAGGAATTAAGAGCTCAGGCTTTGGAACAACTTAGAATTTAGTTGGAATTCAGAACCAGCAATTAAGAGCTTTGTGATCTCAGGTGAGCTACTTTGTCTTCCTATGCTGTAGTGTCATAATGACCATATATGCATGAAAGCATGGTCATGCAGATGATGAAAATACTGTATATTAACATTCTTAGCATTTTGTTCAGTAAATGGTAGCTGTCATTACATATCAGGTGTCAATCCCAGAGGGGTGAGAGAGTTTGTATAAGGTCATATAATTACTTAGAGATAGATATAAGACTCCAATGATTTTCACAGTTATTCTTAGTTGAACAGGTAATATACTTCACAGAAGAGATAAAGTGAATCATGAAGAAGCTACTTGCTCTTTTTATCCCACAATCCTGAAATCTACCTTAACCTTTTGAGGACTGGCACATTGCTTTTTGCATCCATGTACACATCTGCTGAATGATGTCCAGGAAGAAATAGGATATGGAAGAGATTCTGAAAATGAAAGCAGGACAGTATTTAGACTTTGTCACAGGTTGAGTGGATTCCCCAGAAAGCTGACTCTGAAGTAGAGATTAGTTTGCAGGGCAGTTACTATGCTGTGCCCTGGAGAGAAACATTTTTGGAAGACAGGAAGAAAGCAGGATTGGGCAGAGGGAGAATTGATTGTGATACCCCACAGTGACTGTAGTCAGGCCCATTAGGATCTGTGACTCAGACGGTCCTTCAGAGTTGTCCAGGGAAAGTTGGGTCTTTAGGCCCCTCATTGAACTCATACTGGATGCTGGTTTCTCTATGAAGGCAGTGTACCATGTGTGAGCCAGCTTTGCAGTCCCCAGAAGGGTCTGATGGCCCGGGATACCTGTCAGCAACTCTCCCAGCAGCTGGGATAATCTTTCTTTATTCCTGAAAAGGGATCTGTGTGGCACATCACAGCATTCACCACAGACCTGAAGTCATGAAAAACAGAGGAAGGTATGTGTGGGCAGAGACCATACACACACGTCATACAGTGGCTGTAAAGGTGGCAGACAGGGTTTCAGAGAGGGAAGATCAGCTCTGACCTTGACCCAGGAGTACCCTGACCTTTCATTGTATGAGTTGCTTTGGCTAGAAAAGTTAATGAATTGGAAGTACCAGACACCATGAAAGATGGGAGAAATGAGGAGGGCTTGTTTAAATCTGAACACAGCAGGATCTTATCCAGAGTTTCTTTGTTTCACCATGCAGACAGGTGAAATTCACTAGGAGGTGTATTGAATGGAGAAATTAAACTAGAGGGAATCTGACTTACAGGCATCAGGTGGGAGTGGTATGGCTAGAATGAACACAGTAGAGCCCTGGCCTGTTTGGCTTAGTGGTTAGAGCATCAGCCCATGGACTGAAGGTTCACAGGTTCAATTCTCAGTCAAGGGCACATAACCTGGGTTGCAGGTTTGATACCCGGAACCTGGTCTGGGCACCAGTGGGAGGCAACTAATTGAGTGTCTCTCACATTGATCTCTCTCCCCTTCCCTCCTCTCTCCCCCTCCTTCTTCTCTCCCCCTCCCTCCCTCCCTTCCACTCTCTAAAAACCAATGGAAAAAAATATCCTAGGGTAAGGATTAACCAAAAAAAAAGGAAACAGCAGTTAGGTGAAAATTTGAATATTGAACTTGAAACCTGTGGCCCCTTCATTTTAACAGAACTCTTGTTTCCTGGTTAATTCCCATCTCTTAAAGGCGGGATTGTAAAAACAACTGTCTCAGAGAAAAGATCTCTAAACGCTAACATTTAGGAAAATCATAACCAAAAAGATGGCACATTGCCTAATCACTTGACAAGTAGAAGTTCTCAAAGTGGGCTGTGGCCTCCTGAGGAGGCCAGAGATACTTTGATACTTTCAGGTGGTTCAAAAGATCAAAATTATTTTTAAAATAATATGTCAGATGCATTGGCCTTATGTTAATATTTTCATGGATTTGGCATGAATCAAGGCAGTGGTACCAAACCATATAAGTAGTTCTTTTTTTTTAAATTGATTTGAGAGAGAGAGAAACATCAACTTGTTGTTCTCCTCATTTATGCATTCATTGGTTGATTCTTGTATGTGCCCTGACCTGGGATCGAACCTGCAACCTTTTGATGTACGGGATGATGCTCCAACCAACCCAGCCACCCAGTCAGGGCTGTAATTCTTTTCTTTACTGCCACACACTAGGTTTTTAAAAAGCCAGTTATGCTAAGCGAAATAAGCCAGTCATAGAAAGACAAATATCACATGATCTCATTTATATGTGGGATCTAATGAACAAAATAAACTGACAAAAAAAAAAATAGGACCATAGACATGGAAACAGATTTCAAAGAGCTTATATTGCATATAGTTCTCAACCTTCCTAACGCCGTACCCTTTAAAACAGTTCGTCATGTTGTGGTGATCCCCAACCATAAAATTATTTTCATTGCTACTTCATGACTGTAATTTTGCTACTGTTATGTCTTAGGCGACTCCTGTGAAAGGGTCGTTCGACCCCCAAAGGAGTCGCGACCCACAAGTTGAGAATTGCTGGATAGCCCATGGACAGAGACAATAGGTAAAGGCTTGGTGTGGGGTGGTAGGCGGGTAGAAGGGGGCAAAGCTGGGAAAATGGGGGACATCTATAATACTTTCACCAATAAAAAACAGCTTCATTTGAGATTGTCCTTGATGAAACAAAATTTATTAATTTTATATAAATCTTGACCCTTGAGCACATGCCTTTTTTTCTTTTTATTCCTCACCTGAGGATACTTTTCTATTTATCATCAGATAGAGTGGGAGGGAGGGAGAGAGACAGAGAGAAGCATTGATGTGAGAGAGCCACATCAACTGGTTGCCTCCCTCATGACCCGACCAGGGCCTGGGACCAACGGCAACCGAGGTACGTACCCTTGACTGGAATTGAATCTGTGACTCATTGGTTCGTGGGCTGATGCTCCAACCGCTGAACCAAACCACCAGCCAAGGCGAGCACATGCCTTTTTAATATTCTGTTTGACAAAATAGGAAGCATGCACAAAACATTGAGCAATTGTGTGCGTTTGTGAGCTTAAATAACTGCTTTTTAACATGGGAAAAAATCATTTTTTCTCGAAAGAATTACAGACAAAATACGTATATTCAGACCTGGGTATTTGGCAGATATTTTCTCAAAAACTAATAAAATGAGCCTGTCACTTCTGACAGTATTTGTTACCAGTGATAAAACTTGAGCTTTAAAATGAAATTTATAATTGTGGAAATTTGTAAATGCCAGTGAAAGTTTATTAGCTTCCCAATATGTAAAAGTCTTTCTGATGAGATCAGTGGTGGTATTGATATTTTTGAAATTAAAAAATGCAGTGTGTTAATGTTTGAAAGACCTGTGTATCTTAGTGAACCAGTATTTTCCAAGTGGTCAGTGCATGAAGGGACAAACTCTTATGTGGGTGAAAGGTCTATTCAATGTGCAAAAAAATAGCCTAATGGATTTTAATGTAACAGTATGAGAATTTTTTGATAGGTATTTAGATTACACATTGTAAAACAAATTTTTAAAACATTTCCAGTTGTTGAATTTTGATGTAGTACCAAAGCAGAATATTCATAATTATCCAGAAGAGTTATTAAAACACATACACCTATTCCAACTGTGTATGGGTATGAGATTAGATTTTCTTTATATACTTCAACCAAAAAATAAAAAATAAAAATAAGTTTATCACCACAGACTGAATAAAGAAGCAGATATGAGCATCTAGCTGCCTTCTATTAAGTCAGATTTTAAAGAGATTTGCAAAAATGTCACTCTTTTCCTCATTTATTTTTGAAAAATAATTATTTTTTATAAAATGCTATCTATTTTAACATGTAGTAAGGTTATTATTTTTAAATAAAACAGGTATTTAATTTTTCTCAGTTTTAATTTCTAATGTGCTAAGTATTGATAGATTTAACTCACTTAAAGAGAAATTCTTTGGTGTCTTAAAAAAATTTTAAGAGTCTAAAGGAGTCCTGAAATCAAAACATTTAGGAACATTGCTCTGGAGATTACAGTATACATTTGCCACTTCTTGTCTCCCTTTAAAATATATTATTCTACATTCTAGGCAGTGTAAGAAACTGTGTTAACAGTGTACTTCCAGTCACCACCCCCATACTCTGTGCTCTTGCCACATATCTTCCCTATCTATATGCCTCCCCCCCACCCAGTATATTGTTATGTTTCCTTTAAACAGGTGAGGAACCTGGAAGTGTGCTGCTCGGAGCTGCCGTTAAGAATAAAACTTGTTGTTCAGCTGTGAGAAGTTCAGTTACTGGAGAGTCTTCAGTTACCGTGCCTTCAGGGTCTGCCTCAGCTTTAGAGCTGAGACCATAATTTCTCAGGCAGACCTCAGCCAGTGAATAAGCAAGGTAGAATAAGCAAGGTGGGGCCTGACCATTTCAGCAAGTGTGGGGCCCCTCTACTGGTCTGTCTTTGCTGGAGAGCTTCCTATTAGGCTGGCTAGAATTTCAAGAGTTCTCTCTGCCAAATCCTGCTCCCTCCTCCTCCCTTTCTCAACTGTTCAATTTACATTGTGATCTGAGGCTTCCTCTGCCAAATTCAGACCCCTCTTTTTATCTTTCAAAGGTATCACCCTCAGTGAACCTCTGACACTTCTGATTCTATCTTATTTGCTTCCTGGAAAATCCAACTGATAACAGTCTGTCTTTCAAAAAGATTTTACTCTATCTGGTGTTTTTCTATTTCTCCTTGCAGAATTGAATTTCTCCCTTGTATCATTTCTCTTCAGCCTGCAGGACTTTTCACATTTTGTAATTCCAGTCTAGAGACAAAATCTTTCAGCTTTTATTTGTCTGACAGTGTCTTTATTTTTGAAGACTATTCAGAGGTTGCAGAATTGTAAGTGAACAGTTTTTGTCTTTTCATTGTTTTTAAGAAAGATATGGTTCCATTGTCTTCTGTCCACCATTGCTTCTGATGAGATGCCATTTATTTTTCTTTTTACTGTTTCCCCACATAAATCACATTTTTTTCCTGCCTGCTTTTAAGAATTTATTAACTTTGGCTTTCAGCAATTTGAATAGAGTATGCCTATATGTAGATTTCTTGGAATTTATCCTGGTGTATTCACAGAGAATCTTAGATTTGTGGGCAGATATATTTCACTGATTTTGGTAAATTTTGGCCACCATATTTTCAAATATTTCATCGGTTTCATTCTTTCTTTTTCTTGCACTCCTATAACACATAAGTTAGACCATTTGACATTGTCTCTCACCAGAATTTCTGTTCCTTTTGTTGTTAATCCTCACACGAGGATACTTTTCCTTCGATTCTTAGAGTGGAAGAGGGTGGAGGAGAGAGAGAGATGTGAGAGACACATTGATTGATTGCCTCCTGCATGACCCTGACTGGGGCTGGGGATCAAAACTTCAACCCAGGTATGTGCCCTTGACCAGGAATTGACCCATGACCCTTTGGTCCATAGGCTGACGCTCTTAACTGCTGAGCCAAACTGGCCAGGGCCTGTTCCATTTGTTAAAAAGCAGTGTTATTGAAGAAAAATAGACATAGACATACAATAGATAATACATACATACATATTTATTTATTATTTTTATCCTCACCGAGGACATTTTTCCTTTTTTTTTTGTTCAGGTAGAGTGGGAGGGAGGGAGAGGTACAGAGAGAGAAATATTGATGTGAAAGGGACATATTGAGTGGCTGCCACCCACACGACCAACCAGGGCCGGGGAAAAACTGCAACCGAGGTACACGTCCTTAGCAGAAACCGAACCCAGGTCTCTCTGGACCGCAGGCTGACGCTCTAACCACTGAGCAAAACCGGCCAGGGCAGGTAATACATATTTAAAATGTACATTAGCCCTGGCCAGTTTGGCTCGGCCATCAATTTATTTTCTTTGGTAAATATGCTCTTCAAATCTTTTGCCCATTAAAAAAAAATGAGTCGATTTCTTGTTATTGAGCATTCTTCCTATAATTGGATATAAGTCCTATCAGCTATTTGATTTGCAAATATTTTTCCACCCAGTGCTTTGTCTTTTTCATTCTCCTAGTAGTGTCTTTTGAATATCAGTTTTCATATTTGATGAAGATCAGTTTATTTATTGGTTCTTTTGTGGATTGTGCTTTTTATGTTATATCTAAGAAATCTTTAACCAAACATCATACAGATTTTCTGTTTTATTCTATAAATGTTTTAAGCTTTTAATTTTGAGATAATAATAGACTCACCTGCAGCTGTAAGAAACAATATAGAGGGATCACATACTCTTTATCTGTTTTTCCCAGTAATAACATCTTACATAATTGTAGTACAATATTACAATCAGAAAATTGAAATTGGTACAATTCACCAAATTTACTTAGATTTCACAAGTTTTACATGTCCCCTCCCCCTGTATGTGTGTGTGCGTGTGTGTAGTTTTATGTGATTTTATCATCTGTATATGAGATAGGCCAGTAAGCCAGAAGTAGTAGAAGGGGGACAGTGATATAGGTGAACAGACTGGCAGAGCAATTTACAGCAGATACAGAAGGTCACCTCCCTAGAAATAACTTCTAGGCCTCAGTTGTATTTCAGCTTCAGACTAGCAAAACCTGGTGAGAGACACTAGGACCAGTTGCAGTGACTAATGGCCCCCTGCCCTGAAACTGACCAATCAGTGGAGCCCAGTACCCTGGAGGAGCACAACTATGAATATTCTGCTGGAACTTTCCCCTGAGACCTCTAAGATTCTTGCCGGCCAGAAAGAGATAAAAGCCTCAAGCCAAAGGACCCAGCATGCGTTCTCCCTCTGGGAGCAGCCCCCACCATTCCCTTTCCCTTCTTCCTCCACAGGCACATACTTCCAACTCTGAAAGACCCCTTGAGGCTTGCAACTAGGGCAGCAATGGACATTGGCAGCTCGTTCCAGGCTAATTCCTTGAACCTATCCCCAAGGCCCCCCTTTTCTCATATTTCTGAGAAGGCTAAGGCAGCCTAGCTTAGGCTTTCCTTTTGCTTCTTCTAAGCTAAGCCCTTTCTTGTTTTACTGTCCCCAGCTTTAATAAATGTTCCCTCACAGTCACCTGGATTTGTATTGTAAAATTTTTCCTGCATGAAGTCAGGAATACACACACTACCGACTGGCCCTGGGAAGACCTGCCAAGGGCCAGGTATCCTTTCCAGTAACATGTACATTCATGTGGCCACCATCACAGTCAAGATACAAAACAGCCCTGGCCGGTTTTGCTCAGTGGTTAGAGCGTTGGCCTGCGGTCCAGAGAGAACCGGGTTCGGTTCCCACTGAGGGCACGTGTCTCCGTTGCAGTTTGTCCCCGGCCCTGAATGGGTCATGTGGGTGGCAACCACTCGATGTGTCCCTTTCACATCAATGTTTCTCTCTCTTCCTCTCTTACCCTCCCACTCTATCTGAACAAAAAATGGAAGGATGTCCTTGGGTGAGGATGAAAAACAAAACAAAACAGTTCTATCACAAGCCATAGTTACTTTCTCTCCACCCCCCCTCCCTATGCCTTGATAACCAATAATATGATCTCTAGTTCTGTAATTTTAGCATATCAAGAATATTATATAAGTAAAATCATACAGTAACTTTTTTTATACTGACTTTTCCACTTGGGTCCACCATGCTGTTATGTTCTTTTTTTATGGCTAACATTCACTTGTTGAAGGATGGTGGATTGTGTCTAATTTTTGGCTATTAGGAATAAAGCTGCTATCTCCAGGTTTTTGTGTGAATATAAGGTTTTGATTCTCTGTGGTAAATGCTATAGAGTGCAGCAATTGCTGGTATATATGATAGGCATATATTTAGTTTTGTAAGAAACTGTCATCTTTTCCAGAGTAACTATCACTTTACATTCCTACCAGCAATATATGAGTAATTCAGGTACTTTGCATCCTCACTAGCATTTCCTGTTATCACTACTTTTTTTTGCCCATTCTTTTAAGGGTGTAGTAGTTTTGTTATTTAATTAATTAATTTATTTATTTTTGTTACAGATCAGATGTTTCTCCTTTTTCCCTCCACTGATACCCCCTCCCTCACCCTCCCTGCCCTGTCCCCAGCTTTGTTATCCATGTCCATTGTTCATGCATACATGCATATAAGTTCTGTGGTTTATCTCTCCCCCCCAACCCCCTTTTCTGGGGATTGTCATTCGGTACCCCACTTCCATGTTTCTGGGACTACCCCGTTCCTCATACTGTTATGTTCATTATATTCCACAAATAAGTGAGATCATGTGATATTTGTCTTTCTCTGCTTGGCTTGTTTCATTTAGGATAATATTCTCCAGGTCCCTCCATGTTGTCTCAAAGGATAAGAGATCTTTCTTTCAGCTGCATAGTACTCCATTGTGTACATGTACCACTGCTTTTTTATCCATTTGTCTACTGATGAATATTTGGGCTGTTTCCAGATCTTAGCTATTGTAAATAGTGCTGCTATGAACATGGGGGTACATATATTCTTTCTGATTGGTGTTTCAGGCTTCTTAGGGTATATTCCTAGAAGTGGGATCACTGGGTCAAATGGAAGTTCAATTTTTAATTTTTTGAGGTAACACCATATTGTTTTCCATAGTGGCTGCACAAGTCTGCATTCCCACCAGCAGTGTACCAGAATCCCCTTTTCTCCACAACCTCACCAACACCTGTTGTTTATTGATTTGTTGATGGTAGCCATTCTGACAGGTTTGAGGTGATACCTCATTATTGTTTTAATTTGCATCTCTCTGATGATTAGTGACGTTGAGCATTTCTTCATATCTCTCTTGGCCATTTGTATGTCCTGTTTGGAGAGGTGTCTATTCAGCTCCTCTGCCCATTTTTTAATTGGGTTCTTTGTCTTCCTTTTGTTGAGTTGTATGAGCACTCTATATGTATTGGAAATTAACCCCTTATCCGATGTATCATTGGCAATTATGCTCTCCCATAGAGTGGGTTGCCTTTCCATTTTGGTGAAGGGTGTAGTAGTTTTAATTTGTATTTTCCTAATGGCTAATGATGCTGACTATCCCTGCATGGGCTTATCTGTCATCTGCATATCCTCTGTAGAGAAATGTTTGTGCAAGTTTTTTGAACTTTTTAAAAATTGTTTTTTTAAATTATTTTTACTTTTGAGTTTTGAGAGATCCTTATATACAAGTCCTTTGTTGTATATGAAGTTTGAAATTATTTTCTCCCAGCCTGTAACTTTGTCTTTTCATTCTCTTTTTAGGGTCTTTTATAGAGTAAACATTAAAAATTTTTATTGTGTTTATCAATATTTTCTTTTATAAATCATGCTTTTTTTCTGTTAGAGTTAAGAATTCTAAAGTCTGTGATCCATTTGGAATTAGTTTTTATATAAAGTGTTAAGCTTAGGTTGAGGTTCATCCC